CGGGCGGGTGCCAGCGGGAAGCAGACGCAACGCGGTGGGCAGAACAACACCGAGCCCAGGCCCTTGGCAGGCAGCAAACCAGGCACGCGGGCACATCGCAGCGGGGAGACGAGACCCTGCGAGCAGGGCGAGGGCACAGACGCTCTCGGACACGGCACGCGTGAGCAAAGTCTCAATTGCAAACAGTTTCAGGCAGTCAGCAGCGAAAGACCAAGGGATCTCTGCTTTATATATAGTCGTGCCTTCCTTTCCGCTCAAGATCATGCTCTATAAATACCTTCAAGGTAATGATATAAATGAAGGAAGGGAATTATTTGCAGTCTCCAAAGATGGCAGATACAGAGCAGTGTCCCGAAGCTATGCAAGGAAATATTTAGGCTAGATCACACATGGCAGGGTGGAAAAGCGAGGGGGAGAAAAACAGGGGGAATGTCTTTAATGCAAGAAGACAAGGGGCAAAGGGCAGAGGTGGCCGCAGGCCTCTCCGGGGCACACGGGAAGGAAGGGATCAGCCTCCCCAAACAGATGTTTTTCCAACCCGGCTTCTGACGGGAGCTCAGGTTGATCCCAGGAGCAGCTCCAGGGACCTGGGGCTTTCACCGACCCGTTTCCAACTCCCAGATTGTGAAGAATAGGAATATCCTGTCCCACTTCTGCACGTGTTTGCTTCGTTCACCACGCACAGCACAGAGCGCCCAGAGCCGTGCTGGCTGCATCCGACCCTCCCAATGCTTCGGCTGTGGGAATAAGCTCTTTCCACGGCCTCCTCCCGCGCAAGCCGTCTGCGAGGCGGGACAGGCGCCTTGGTCTGCCTCGGGAAGGGGCTCGCGGGCCTCGGAGCAAGGCGGGACAGGAACGTGAAATTAAAGCCTTGGGCTTGCAAACTGCCACCTGCGGCCGTCCCGAGGGGAAGGGGAGGGGGCTGCCCTGCCAATAACCACACTGCCAAAACCCGGCGCAGAAACAGGATCTGGGAGAAAAGCAGGTCCTTGGGAACAACAGGAGAACGTCCCCACCGCAGCACGGGATGGGAGAAGCCCGGCGCCCTTTGCTCCATCCTCCGCCTCGGGCCGGCCCTCGCCTGCAGCTCCCGGCCTGGCCTCGGGCGGAGGAGCGGGGAGGCCCATGGAGGTGCCCTGGGAAGGCCGGGCGGCCACGGCAGCTCGTGACTGCCCACGCGGCCATGAACAACCCGCGCCAGCCGCGGCTCACAGTTTCCTCTGGCAGCGGCACTTCCCCAAGCGGGAAAAGACGCAGGATCGGCTCCGAGCAGGGAGACGCTGCCTCCTCCCGCCGCCGCCGGCTTTTCCGCTTGGGGGAATGGGGTAACTGGGATTTCAAGGATGGGGTTTATCCAGCTACGCTAGATGGTTTTGCCTCTGGACTGGAGTGTGGCAGCAGAAGAGGGCAAATGGCCCCGGCTCCTTCCTGGTAGCTGCTGGGCATCCCATGAGCCCCAAACTGGGTTTCCCAAGGCACGAAAGCCACGGGATGCGCCTGGGGTCCCGGCACAAGACGGACTAAAAGGCGAGCGAGACCACCTTTACAGCAAGCAGAGCATGGAGCAGTCGTCCACGCCAGCCACCATGAGCACAGAGCGAGACCACCGGCCCGCAGTGCTCCAGGACACAGGTCCAAAGCCATGAGCACCACTGCGTGGTTTCACGCTGTGAGAGCCACGAGCATCACCACGTGTTTTCGCATTGCAAAAGCAAGCAGCATCACCAAGTGTTTTTACACTGCAAACAGATTTGCACTTAAACGCCTTCCTGGACTTTTTTCCCTTTGCCCAGCACAAAATCCAGTCTGAAAACCCCAGAATGTGCCCAGGATGCCCTCGGGATGCACCCAAAAGGTGCCCCCCAGGAAAGCTGTACCTCTTGGACCAGCCATGGGGCCCTTTGCCACACGCATGTGGGCAGAGGAGGCTGACGTGTCCCCCGCCACCCCAGCAAGGAAATGGAAATCCCCAGGTGGCAGAAGAGGCTGGGCCCTCCCGCCCAGGCTCCTGCCAGCGTGGGTGCCCCTTGTTCCTGCTGCGCAGGGCCTCGCGGCGCCGCGCGGGGAGGCCCCGCGCCCGGGTCTCATTGACGGCGGCGGCGG